GCACAACACTGTACAACACTACAAATGTACCTCACTTCTGTTCTCAACACCACATGGGCGTGGGCTGTTCCAGTCTTTGCTGCTAGCCATTGCACAGAGGGTATACCGGCTGCACGCCTGACATAGTGATCGGATGCTGCACTTCGCCAGCAGCCTGCACGGCAAATGGCTGCTTCACAGACACTTGTACTCCGGTGAGCCATGAGTGTGGCCCCGCCAATACGCACAGAATGGGAGCTCACCCGGTTGCAGTTGAGGATCTTAGTCGAGCAAACTCGGGAGAAGTAGCCGCCGTCGACGAACACAAACACTGCCCGTGAGCTGCCGGCAGTAGCGGTCAGGGACCGGAACTCGGCCATAGCCGAAACTGGGTACATCAGATTATGTGTGCGCAAATACCGGACTTAAAGGTCTGAGTCGCTCATGAGATCATTCGACATTGCTGGCAGCAATCAGAGCGGCGAGTTCAGCGGAGGAGTTGGCACCAGCTACTGGTTGGCTGTGGAAGCCAGTTCTCGGAAGCGAGTAATCCAATAGGTTCATGCTGCATCTCAGCGGCCCATTGCCCCAAAAACGATTGTCCTTGATAGAAACCGCAGAAGCCAACATTAGAGGCATCCGTGAATAGCTCAAGGTCAGGGGACTTTGAACACTCGACATCGTAGAAGAAGGATTGGCCATTCAAGTTTGCGGCAAAGGAGCGCGACCATTCGATGTCCAAGTGAGCTTCTGTGTCGATGTTGACTACTGACTGAAGAGACTGAGAGAGTTGTCCAGCTAAGATACAGGAGTTGACGGATGAAGGTCCTGCCAGGAGGAACCACCTTTGCGGCAAGGACAAGGTTCCGATCAGCGACAGCAGTTTCCGCGTTGTGTAGCTAGTGCGCGTGGACTACTCACTCAAAGCCGCTAGAAAGGCAAATAGCTTCTGGTCAGGTAGCCGCATCACCTGGTCCTCGCTGTCGACTTCTATGCCAAGTACCGTCACCACTGTTGCTGGGCCGACCACCTTGCTGAGGTTGTCGAAGACCTGCGGAATCGTTGCTTTCAGTTGAACTCATTCCATTGACCATCAAGCACACGAACATAAGCACCTTGTTTAGTGCAGCGTACTGGTTCTTGTGCTGGCCTGCACAGCTATCAGGAATAGTTTTACCCAGAATGACTGGGTTGATGATTTCTCCCTGAGATAGGGTAATGCCACGTGCACAGCAGATGTGGTGCATAACGAACGCACAGTGGGCATAAAATCTTCATATCCACATCAAAGGCCACAAGCGTTTGACAACCACATCTGATACGTAGATGATCAACGATCGTCCCTGCACTCAACGTCGCTCCAGCAGTAGTAGCATGTTGCAAACCACCATCGTACGTTGTCCATGTAAATGCCTCCATAGCCAGCAATCGCATGTCATCTATTATTATTATTATTATACGCATTCCCGCGGCAGCGTCAACCAAGCAGTTATGCTTGATCCACACGTTCGCTTATGCTGGACATTGAAACAAAGCAGATGTAGACAGCTCCTAGAGAATGGGGCTCTACAAAACCAATGATCGAAGTTAGTCCTTCAGTAACATGGAGCGTCATAAAATTGGTCTCATTGGAAAAATGTCATCACTATTGTCTCCTCATGTAGCATCATGGTCAATAGGTGGCCAGATAATTATACGTATGAGGTTGAGTTGCCAGATAATTATTAAAAGATTCAAATAGTAATATTATTATAGAATGGTTGTTATGAGTTTATAAGGGTGCCATGGCTGTTTCTACTTGTGACGAGGGTGTGCACAAACACTCTTCACCAGCGCGTTCCATGCTGGACGGTCCACAGCAATCCGCTCCAGACGGCGCAAGTCCTCAACACTCCGCAGGTGCCCATTGTTCGACTGGGACAGATCGGTGTGGAGCTTTATTGGTAGCATGTCATCTCGTACATTCAAAATCAACATAATTTTGCGAATCGACCTTTTTTTTCAGGATCACTTTTCAACGAGGACGAAGGAAAGTCGGCCGAACTAAGCCTAGAGGAAGAAAATCACCCTCTCCACTTCACCATCACGATACTGACATAGATACGAGATGAAACAACTAAAAAATTCACAAGAAAACTGTACGACCATCATCGCGCTGACTTTGGTCTGACTTTGGTCTGAGAATTTCTTTCACGATCAAAAATGTACGAGGAGCACTCAAAAATCAGCCACAGACGTACCTTTATCGCTCTCTACTCCTTTTTCAAGGCACAAAAGTCGACTCTCCACTTTCAAACCAGGAACCAGACATACCAGTGGTCCTTTTCAGCTGCTCCACGAGCGCAGGAAATGTTCACCAAGGGGCGCAGAGCAGCATCCATTCCAGAAAAATAGCTAGAATACGAGTGAGACTGCATGCCTGAGTACATGAGTACATGTATGAGTACATGCAGAAAATAGTCAATTTCAGCGTTTCTGCTCCAAACAGCAACTAGCTTCGACTAGAAACAAAGATTACACCAAAGGATCAAACAACAACCATTTTCTGCAGTTTTTTTGCAGATGGCTTCCTTGTGCTTGGCCCAGCACGCCAAAAATCACACCTCGGAAGAGTACAAAAATTACAACTCTCAGATGTCCTTGATTGCTGGCCATGTGCTCCTTGTCTACTTCTTTGGCTAGATTTTTTGACAGGTAATCACAGCCATTTCTGAGTTGGCGTCAACGCCACTCGCCATGTCGAGGCCTAAATAACTGGACCTCTGCTCCGAGTAGTTCTTGCTTGGCCTCATGAACTCCAGGAAATTCACTACTGCGACCATGAGCTACTCTATCTGCCCACGCAACAAACAAACATTTCAACCAAGCGCGATCGATCGCTGTTTTAAGTAACTTAGTTGTGAATTTTCAAGCGCTTCCAGCTCACACGAGTCAGTGCTTGTCTACGCAGACTAGCACAACTGATACTCTTGTACAGCTTGGCGGAGAGACAAAGGAGAAAACGGAGAAAACACAACCTTGAGTCACTTTGGCTAACTGGATGACAGAAATTGTTGACAAGGAAGTTGCTTTGCTGACACGAGGCAGGGCAAAGCGGCCATGCAAGATTTATTCTTTCATCCACCATTTTCGGAAAAAATATTTTTTATTCATGTGCCGCGTGACGAACCCGTGACAAAACACGTGCATGCGTGGGCTAACTTGGCTTTGCTGCTCAAAGCCGTCATTTAAATCTTCCACACTGTTAGGAAATTTGAGGCCACATGCCCCGTACTGCTCTTTTTCTCTCCGAAACTCAACACTCGCAAGCCAGATATGAAAGAAAGAAAAAATCATCAGTCACACCACCGGGACTCGAACCAGGGACCTTGCTATTCGCGAGCAATGCGCTAACCACCTGAGTGCGTTCGATTATGCACTCGAATCGATTCCTGAATCGATTCGCGCTATTCATATCACCCCATGTGAAGAGGGGGAATGGATTCCGAATCGATTCCAGGGCTCAAGACATGAAATCGAACGACTTTTCCCTTGTCATTTAATCACTGTCACTCACATACATACCGTCATAAAATATAAAACGCAAGTTTTTCTCATCTTTTTCTATTTCTTGTTTTCATTAGCTTTAGCATGTTCATTCACATTCTTCATCATTTGTGAGAACTAGACCTGGTCTAGTGAGAAGGCATTCTACTGCCTGTAATTCTGGTGAAGTAAAATAAAGTAACAACAACAACAACAACTTGAATGCATGCGAATGGATTCATGAATCGATTCAAGTGCATAATCGAACGCAGCCACTGACCTACAGTATGATTCTTATCCACAGTGATGGTAAATCTATCCTTCCTCGATCAATCCATATCTGGCTTGTAACATACTGGCAACTCACACCAATCAAGAGGGCCCTCGGCCATTCGCTTGATATCATGGGGAGTGCATCAAACTATGTCCACTGCGAGCAAATACAAAGTTGGTTAGCGCATTGCTCGCGAATAGCAAGGTCCCTGGTTCGAGTCCCGGTGGTGTGACTGATGATTTTTTCTTTCTCTCATATCTGGCTTGCGAGTGTTGAGTTTCGGAGAGAAAAAGAGCAGTACGGGGCATGTGGCCTCTAATTTCCTAACAAAGTGAAATTCTCCTTGAAGTCAAAATTTGAAATCTTCCACACTGTTCCGCCAGTGTTAACATCATCATTATTATTATTATTATTATTATATATTTGAGGATTTCCCAAAGACGTAGTCTAAATTGAAGGGAGTCCCATTATAATGGGAGGCTGTAGGGTTGAGATAGCAGACAGTGGAGGGCTAATAATTCGTAATGAACAGCCTAGCAAGAGAAATACAATTATGGTGAATGTTCCAGAATGGTCCTTTAATCAATGATACCTATAGCCTCGGGGTATGCCTTGAAATACGAAATGTACCGAAACAGAAACACCAAAATTAATAAGAATAAGCGCAACGCACAAAGAAGGAGGACAGAGGCATGTCAGTGAGGAGTGGCATCGTATTTGGTGTCAGAGAAGTGCGTGCAAATGTGACTGTGAAACAGGGACTGCGAGGCTGTGGCTCTCAGGTCTGCGGGCAAGGCATTCCAGACAGTAGCGGTGCGGAAGAGAAATGACCTCCCGGCGTGTTTCCCAACCCGTGGCAGAGTGAATGCGAGTTGGCCGCGGCGACTACGCGTGGGGCAGTATCCCGCTGCTTCAAAAAGTTCTGGTTGGGTGGTGACCAAATGGAAGAATTCCATAAGGCAGGCGATCTTCCTTCGCCAGGATAGACTTGGCCACCCCAGCTGTTTAAACAATGATGACTTGGGCTCGTCTGATGGGCAAGGGCATCTCTCATGGCCACCTTGCTGTGACTACTCCCCAGTTTGCCTATTTTTTCACGTCAGTCTGCACACACCCGGATCAAGCAATCAAGGTATACCAGTCAGGCCCAAGTTTTCATATTCTTCGAAATTTGTCAGTCAAACCGAATGAGAATGTGTTAGGATGGGACCATATCACTTACATCTGTGTGCGGATGTCCTGATATAACCAGGTCTACACATACACCGGTCTTCATTACGTGCTGCTACCAAGTTCATGCTGTCGTTGCAGTAGACTGTGATAATAAACACAGAAGCACATTAAACTGCAACAATGAACAGAGAGGCACATTAAACTGCAACAATAAACAGAGAAGCATATTACGCTGCAGAGAAAAACAAATATATACTAGTAGCTGTCTGGGCTGACAACACTGGTAACGCCAATTGAGCAGTGCCCGACCGTATTGACAGAATTCGAACTTGCTCTACATACTATTGTGATAACACAAAAAAATCCGGTGGAACAAAAAAAGTGATAAAATGTCTCTACTCATGAGTTTCATGCTGAAAAGCAATCATCAGGAGACTGGGGCTATAGTCATGATAGTCGGGGTTGTGTGGTCTTATTCACTATAGGTGTTGTCCCATGGCAGGTATGCAATGCTAGTGTTTCAGCGCGAAGGCAGTATAAGCGATCAGTATAGTGTTATGCGGGGGGGGGGGCATGGGAGTATTATGAAGGCAGTGTAAGTGATCAGTTCAGTACTATGCTGGTGGCGTGGGGATATTATGACACCGGCCATGGCGCTACCGGGCCGCGGGGCAAAGGAGAATACAGGCAAGATGCTACTCATGCCATTTTGGCTTGGTGAGAGTTGGCACCAACTCGGGGTGTTACTGACTCGGGGAGGGCGCTAAGCATAAAGTTGCAGAGGTAGAACTTTGATTCGTGTCGGCACTTTGACACCAGCTCTGTGCGCTTGTTGAGGGACGTTTCCTTGTCTGCATTGCTGATGTATAGCTTCTCTGTCAGGCACAGGTCACACCGCTTGGTGGTGTTGGTGTAGGGACGCGCCCTGCATCGAATCGACCAGTCGACTATTGTCATTACATGTCTCCCCTCGTTAGTACGACATCGACTACAAGACAAACCTCATTAGTAGACAACGATCAACTAAAATCCCCTGACGCATGAAAAATCCCCTGACGCCTGAAAATCCTCTAACTCCTCTGAAGTGTGTACATTCGAGACAGAATAGTAGATAATACTGGTTATAAGACAAGAATTTGAAACTAGCGGGGTTATTTACTAACGACGGAAGACCTGTACATGTATTAAGATGAGCCATACCAAGGCAAGCATGTTGGCTTTAGCCTACTCTAGATTACCTGATCCCTTGTCAAATAATAACACGCATACATGTACAATTTCATGCCTTTGTACTATATATAAAAGGCCATGTCCATGATTAGGCCCATCACCCCCCTAGTCAGATAAGCCCACGCTCCTTTCGACGGAATTCTACAGTCAGTGATGTTGTGCAAAGCAGACCATGATATCTGTTTGAGTACACACACACAATCAATAGTATTGTCTTAGGGGTCGGTGAAATATATTTTTGTCGTCCCTGGAATGAACATCGCACATTTGAGGGCAGGTGGTTTCAGCTAAAATCTCAAGTCGACTGACGCTGTTCATACATATGTACATGTATGTATGTATGTATGTATGTATGTATGTATGTATGTATGTATGTATGTATGTGTGATTGTCGTCGTCCAGCATAGCAAGCTGCGTTCATTTTGGAGGGTGGGGAGGGGTCCGAGTACAAAATGAACCATATTCGTTTCAAGGATGACTAAAAACTATTACTGTTATCAATGTGATAGAAAACAGCTGCTGAGATTGCTGAGTCCATTGTGTGTGGAAATCCTGAGCAGAATTTATCACACACATACATAGAGGACGCCACTTGATGCTAACAGAGCGGGGCACTTACAAGAGACACAGATTGTTGGACGTGCTTTGGTGCAGGAGTCTTGACCTACTGTGTTGGTTGATGGTTGGTAGGTAGTACAATGAGACCCATCAGTGGCGTTGGTGTATACCGGTATGTAGCTGACGTTGTTATTACTCAAGACTTGCGATGCGTCCAACAGTTGTGAGGCACAGCTGAGTTCCTGCCCGTCTGTAGACAATGAATGACCACCATATTGTTGATAGCACGTCTGGTTTGCATCATCAGCTGAGAATGAGATGCTATGGTATGTATAAATGTGTGAGTCACACACTATAGAAGCTGCTTGTGTATCTACAGCCACAAACAACAGTAGAACGGACATACAATCATGTCGTCTCAGACACTGCCATACTTTATGCAGAGTATTGGTTTCTGCCAAGAGCTTTGTATAACACTTGTTCGTACCTGAAACACTTTAACACGTTGTACATAAAGTGGGGAATCCAAGCAAAGACGAACTGTCGCAAACCGAAAGTCAATATCTTACTAAAGTCCACGTTTCGCTTGGCTTCCCTCATTATGTGCTTTACATACTGTTGAGACTCCAAGTTGAGTGGTCTGTTGCCTTGCGTCATCCAGTTGTAGTGAGACTGGTGTATCCAATGTTCTTACTAGTCTCATCATCATCATCATCATCATCCCGTAACGTTCTACATTCTTTGTAGCCAAGGGACACAGCTCGTGCACATCTTCGTGGCGAATCCCTTCCCCTCATTGGAACTTTCCGCACCTGAGCCTTCCAAGTTGGAAGGTTGTTGGTTTGCGCTTCGTAGATGTGTTAGAGCTAGGTGCCAGGTCGTTGAATGTCTCAATATCCTAGTCAGCGTTGTGGCTTGTCGTCGCACTATCTGACTGAATATTATCTCCTTACCTTGTCGTCACACTATCTGATTGTATATTATCTCGTTACCTTATTGTCACACTATCTGATTGTATATTATCTCGTTACCTTGGTGGAGCTGCATCTGCGTCCTGATCCACAGAGGGTGGTGACGTCCCTACAGCCATGGCTCTTTGGAAAGATCATTTTATCAAATGAAGCTCTCCGTAACGTTTTCAGCACAATAAGCATGTCAGGGCTACTTCCATGTCCTCTCCAAGCTTCCCTACAATGCCTCAGATTCCCACAACTTCATTTCACCCTTTCGTTCACCTCCTTTCTCAAACTCTACGGATTTTCACGATTCAAAGTGCATTGGAAAGCAGAGATTCAAGCTCTCATTTCCCCACCCATTACACATGTACTGGGACCATGGGAGATCCAAAGGCACCTGAAGAGCCGCTCCGTAAAAATCTGGTCGATCGCCAGAGAGCATATTTTCTAGTTACTTCTTGTGTTGCATTCTTTCAAACTTTGCCCTATGGCAAAAAAACTTGGCATTTGGCCCCTCTAAAGCCTTACTAATCTGTAGAAAGGTCATGTCCACCCGCCTCTGGAACATGCCACCTCACCCTGGCCCTACATGTATATCCTTACCAAAGCTGTACTGGAGTGTTTAGATAACAATCATTATCTTGGTTAGGGTAGCAAGGATGTTTTTGACGAGTAAGAGAGTAACGTTAGTTTGGTCCAACCGGCTACAAGCTCACACAACTCAGTGGGGTGATATTTTACATTGCTAGAAATATGAATACATGTGAAACAAGAGAGAAAGAAACACTATCCGTTCATCACGGAAGGAACAACCAGAAAAGGAAAACATTGAATAAACAAGCAGCGCAAGCGAAAGCCAGAACGCTCTCTTCAGCAGAACGTTCACGTACAAGTGCACCCGCAGCGCACCCGCAGCAGCGCAAACAAAGCCACCGTACTGCACTAATCTACATGCATCAAAATAAGGACACAACATGCACTCAAAAAGTAGACCAACCTGCATAAGGGTACGCGACTAGTAGCGTCCGCGTAGCCGTGCCAAATAAATGCAAATAAATCATAACACAAATAAATCAAACCGAAAATAAATCAACTAGAAACACCGAGTGCCTGCCTGCCCAAGTTCTCAAGTCCTTTTATTACTATAATTATGGCACTCGTTGTACAACATCACTCCCCACCAAAGGACTTCCTGGGGATTACAAATCTAACCGGGTTGGGGCACGGACTCGGCGACCGGTTCTAGTAGTGCGCACTTCATTGTCGGCTGCAACAGGTTGTGGATCTGGTTGAGGGGGTGACGTTGGCGGTAGAATCTCCACTGCTTCATCGGTGCTAGTCTCATCGTCACTACTGGCCACTTCTCCTGCCGTCGGAGATACTTCTAGTGGCACCAAACGCTGTACTGGGCGGAGCAAAGACGTTTGCCCAACCTTGACTCGCACCACGCGCACAACGCCGTCTTTCCCAGGGTACACATCAGTAACCCGAGCCAAATGCCAGAACTGACGCTTTCGTGATTCATCCACCAGCAGGACAACTTCTCCTGCTTTGACTTAGGATGACTTAGACTGATGATACGCAATCAAGTTGGTCAGGTACTCCCTCTGCCATCGCTTCTTCAGGTGTTCGCCAACTGTAGCAACATACCGTTGTCTTGCGTTGAGCTGCTCTGCCGTCAGCCCTGCTGCTTGTTCGGTGCTGATCTCGTCTGCCTGCCAAACACCATTGATCATCATTGCTGGGGTCAGGGGTAAGTCATCATCAGTGTCTGCCACATGGGTGAGTGGACGGCTGTTCCCCACTGCTTCCACTTCAGCCAATACAGTATCCAATTCACGCGGACCAAGCATCGCCTTGCCCAACACCTTGCGTAATGGTGCCTTCACAGCTCCAACCAGACGCTCGAAGAACCGACCATGCCATGGAGCCGCTGGAGGATTGAACAGCCATACAACATTGATCTTCTCCGCTGCCGACTTGAATGTAGTGGCATTATCCGAACGGATGCGGAAGGGTATGCCCCGGCGTGCTACGAACCGCCGATACGCCAGCAGAAATGACTCCGTGCACAGACTGTCGACTGCCTCTAGATGGACTGCCCACGTTGTTCCGCAAACGAATAGAGCAATCCATGTTTTCTCCACTTGTTCACCCTTACGAACCATCAAGGGGCCCGCAAAATCAATGCCTGTCAGTCCGAATGGCTTGACATGACTCACACGGTCCGCCGGCAGTGGTGGCGTAACTTGGGTAGCAGCGGCCGCCTTGTAACGCTTGCAGACTCCGCACCGAGATCCAATGCGGCGTAAGGCTCGCCGAACACCAATCACTAACACCTCATTACGTAGTGATGCCAGAACCGTCTCTACGCCTCCATGCATTTGCTTTGCATGGGCCCGCTCCAGAATCAACGATGTCAGGTAGTGCTTGCCGAGCAATACCGGATGCTTAGCACTGTACGGCAGCTCACTCTCACTCAATCTTCCTTCAGCTCTCAGGACCCCACTGTCATCCACATATGGGCCGAACTTAGCGATCTTGGAACTTGAGCTGAGCGGCTCGCCATTCTGAAGTGCAGCCAACTCCAGTCCGAACAGTTCCTGCTGAATCAGTCGGTACAATCTGGCCTCAGCAATGGTCAGGATCTCCGCCCGTGTCTTAGTTGGATATCGCCATTGCAACATGCGCACAACAAATTCGGTTACCCGGGTCCACCTTGACAAACGCTTCCACCAGGGGTTCTGTGGCTCCGCTGTCACAATTCCAACTCACAGTTCCGTGACCGATTCACTCGTCTCGGTGTTGGCTTGCGTGTCTGGCCATTCTTCTGGACTCGTCAGCCAGGCTGGTCCCTTCAGCCAGTCACTACTTGTAAGACTACCCACGGGAGAACTTCGTGATGCAAGGTCAGCCGGGTTTTGCACTCCCGGACAGTGACTCCATTTCACATCTAGCTCCTTCGAAGTCTGCTGTACAGCTACCACTCGATTAGCCACGAATGTCTTCCAACGGTAGTATAGGATGGATTCGTAATCCACTGCAGCGTAGTGAGGCTATCGGTCCAACCGAAAATCCGTTCTCCTTGCACTCTCAACTCCTTACACACGAATAAGAGGTACCTGGAGGCGAGGCACGCAGCTTCCAGCTCCAGGCGAGCCAATGTTGGCGCCGGCACTGGTGCCACCTTGCTCTTACCACACAGCAGACATGCTACACCGTCAACTACGATGTAAATGCAGCAGCCATAACACTTCTCTGACGCATCCGCAAATACATGTAGTATTACCGGCATGTCGGGCTTACCGCCAATCCAACGCGGAACCTTCACAAGCGAAACATTGGAGACATCTCCCCACCATTGCGCACACTTGGCTGCAATCTCACTCGGGAGCGGCTGGTCCCACGTGCCACCCAGTTTCCAGCACCTTTGCAACAGGATCTTCCGTGGTAGTACCGCAGGTGCAGCTAGACCAAGCAGGTCGAATACGGATGCTACGCAGTGCAGAAGTTGCCGCTGGGTCCACGGTGACTCCTTGGTGTCAGTGTCACCTACTGCTGCTACCGCGATCACATCGTCGTCGACTTCCCACTCGACCCCTAGCACCTTGCCGCCAGACTCTGGATCACAGACGATGTTGTTGTCACGCCACTTCCTCAGCTCCATTCCTGCACCTTGCAGAGCTACCACACTACACTCTCGAAAGTGGTCGGCTTGGGCAGGACTAGACACACTAACTACCGAATCATCAACATAAAAACTATCACGTAACAGCGCAAGCATAGCACGATCAGCATCATTAGCGCATGCAAGCAGCCTATCTAAATGGTGCAACTACACAGCATTCAGATTTCAGAATGAAGGGGGAGCAATTGGCTCCAAATGGCAATTTCGTGAACCGCCAGACACACATTTCGCTTTCGCCCAGCACGGGCCACACAAATCGCAAATATGGCCTATCCTCTTCTCTAATGCCTATCATGAAAAAGCCTTCCTAATGTCCGCTTGTAGTGCAAACTGATACTCACGAAACCGAAAGGAGAAGGCCCGCCAGATCGGGTAGTAGCGATGGTCCTGGGTTCAACAGGTCACTCAACGATGCCTTCCCAGTTGCCGATGCCGATGCGTTGAAGACTACCCTTGTCTTGGTCGTAGCGGCGTGCTCCCTGAAGATGGCATGATGTGGCATGTAGTAGCCGGGCTGTTCGGGGTTTGGCTCTCTTTCAATAGCTCCTAGCTCGCTGTACTCTCTCATGAGCACGTTGTCATACTGCTCCCTCTTGCCCTTGACGTTCAGCCGATCCATCAGCTTGGTAGCTGCTGCAAGTGCAATAGCTTGGGTGTAATTTTCAGGTGGTCGGCGGTCAGACCTCCATAACAGTTCCACTTGGTACTGCGTCCCCACTTGCTCTATGGAGAACTCAGGCTGGTGGGTCCTCCAGCTGCCACAACCGTTCTACCCTCGCTTCGACGCAGGCAACTGACACCGTGCATCCGAGTTCGGCGTCCTTAGTTGGGCCAGACAGTACCCAGCCGATCTCCGTTTCCCAGGCGGTGTTGCCGTTGACCACCCGTTTTTGCAGTAGGATGTCGTTGCAGTGATCTGCAACAATCAGGAGATGGACGTCGTTGGGCGTACCTTCGCCTGGTTGGTTACTCAGATTGATGCCGCTCGCTTTCCATTGGCATATCGTTGCCTTGACGACTGGCGGGAAACGCATACTCATGTTGTCATTTTTCCAGGTGTGTACCTTGATAGGACCCGATGTACCCGTCACTGCAACCTCAAGGCACTCCGTTCTCTGGACCACGGGCTCACTGCCGAACACCGTTACCTTGACCTGGTCTGTCCCTACACACTTGGGGGAAATGGCTGCCGCTAGCGACGAGGAAATAAATGAGGCCTGTGACCCTGGGTCCAGAAAGACTCTCACTCGTGCCCGCTTCTTGGCGCATACTTCCGCTACAGCTGTCATGAGATGCACCGGTGCCGATGTGGTACAACTGTATGTGTTGATGCTCTCATCCAGGTCCTTGGGGGGTTTAGATTTCGGTTTCCCATGCAGCAACGTGTGGTGCTTGCCATCGCACTTGTTACAACCTGAGTTGGCCTAGCACTGCTCCGCCAGGTGACCCCCACGCAAACAGAGGTAGCACAGCTTTTCATTGCGCACGTATGCTCTGCGATCGTACGTTTTTTTCCCATCTTAGCCAGATACTTCTTGGCTTGCTCCACTGACACCCCAACGCACTGCACACTGTGTTGGACTGGTGGAGCGATGGACCGTTTCTCAGCTACCTTCCGCCGTCCGTGCGTCTCCTGATATTAGACGCCAGTTGCCTGGAACGTGGGCATGTCCATATGGAAGCATTTTCGTTCAATCACGAACGCTTTCATCTCGGCCGGCAATCCATCCAATGCTAGCTGCTTGACCAATACTGCAAGTACGTCAGGCGCTTCATAGTCCTCAGCCTCTGCGTTGGCAGTGCTCGTCAGCTCTATCCACGAGTCGAGCAGCCTTGCTACTCTTGTTACATAATGATGGAACGACTCGTCGAGCTGCGTAGTGGACTTGGCATCTCGCCACACTTTGTCCGCGGCCAGTCCATGCGCCAGCAGCACTTCCCTTTTCGCTTCGTCGTACCAGGCACATCCCGAGAACGCCTTTTCCAGCTTGCTCCCAGAGAACGCTACACGCAGGTGAATTAGCCGATCTTCTCTGCTATACCGATTTTGCTGAGCAATATCCTCGAAAAGACTCAGGTATTCCTTGATCTCCGTTGCTTTTCGCTGCTCGTACTTCGGAAACATTATCCCGTTCCTCAGTGGGGTTGTCTGTTCCTCCGCGTTCACACTATTCGTCGTGGGTCTGTGCTCAGCCTCCAGTCGGAGCGCTCGGTCTGCGCCTCTAGTTCGGCCATCCGCCGCTCATGCTCCTGCAGCGTGCGCACCGCCTCCCGTTCCCTGGCACGATCCTCTCGATCGTTTCTCTCTGCCACTTTGCTGTCCACGTACTGCGCGAGTTGTTCCCCTTCATACCCCAGGGCCTGCCCAACTCTCAGAAACCGCTCTTCTTATAGCAGTTCCCCCGCGGACTCCGTCTTGGATCCTTTTCCCTCACTGGTTTTCTCCTTGAGCTTCGTGGCCATTTCCTGTCAGCGCCACGGGACCAACACAGCGTCTATCCTGGAGTGGTCGCCAAAATAAATCAACTAGAAACACGGAGTGGCTGCCTGCCCAAGTTATCAAGTCCTTTTATTACTATATGGCACTCGTTGCACAACAGTTAGATAGGTATGAATTTATAGGGGTCAAACAAAGTCACAATCAAGTGACCTCTGTGACCTTGAGTCCTTACATTTTTTTACACAAATCTCCTCTTGAGTTACATTGCATTGAACCTATCTCCATGTCTCTGTCCTTGAGTCCCAGAAGACCAAACAAAATGAATGTTCTTTGAAACTACCGTCATGTACTTCGAGTACTTCGTATTTCTAAAAGAGGTAGGAGGCGGATAATACTTTAAAAAAGAAGGTAAGTATTAGGTCGCAAGCATCCACGTAAACACACAACTCCAGTCAAATAAGGCACTTGTCATAAAGTATTCGAACGTTTTCAGTCCCTTCTCATGAAGGATTGTACAGGGAATGGCTTCTTTTTTTTAAATGTTTATTTGAAATCGGATAGCTCAACAGTACAGAAGTACAACTACAAAGAGTGCCGAATAGAAGGCCCCGAGAACGGGAAACCAAAAAACCAAAAAACAAAAACAGCAACCAATTTACTGATTATGCACATTGCTTGAAAGCAAATCACAACAATGATTTTAAGAGTTAAGCTGTCTTTTAGCCAAATAGGCAATTTGACGCGGAAATCTGCGATAGTAGTGCAGGACTTCAGGTCGTCTGGTAAATAATTCCAAACAAGAGCCGATTTACTTGAAAAGGACAGAAAGCCAGACATAGATCTATAGCGATTGATACTCATGTTATGAGTTGTTGAGCCGCGAGTAGTTCGGGTAGACGTACAGATGGGAAAGAGGGACTGCAAGCAAACAGCCGGCCTAATACAGTAACAGTGGAAAATGAATACAAGGAACAAAAATACTGATCAATATTGGAAAGAGGAAACATTGAGGTGGTGAAGAAGTGGCGTGATTTTAGCTTGGGGTGATGCGCCACAAGCAACTCGTACAGCGCGCCGGTGGAGTGAGGCTAGCTTGTTTCTATTTTTAGCGGATATAAACGAAAGGTATACAGGGAGAGCATATTCTAGATCAGGCTGAATAACACCGACAATGAAAGTACGGCGGGAAAACAGGTTTATCTGGCGGAAAGATCGACGCAGTACACCGATCTTCCGTGAGGCTTTCCGGACGACATTGTTAATGTGTTGGTCAAAGGACAGTTTATTGTCAACAACGACTCTTAAGCATCTGGTGCTTTCCACTTCCCCTAGCGTAACATTTGACAAGGTGATTTGCAGTTGTTGCCTTTGTTGTTGTTGCTGACTCCCTGTGGCACGTTTGGGATGGATTTGCATGACAACGGTTTTGTCGGTATTTATCTGCATACCAATGGAGCCAAGGTGGTTGTTTAGTATCTCCAGTGCCGATGACAACTTGGCTTCCGAACGCGCCTTCGACGGATCACTAGAGTAGACTGTCTTGTCATCTGCGAACATCAGTAATTTTGAACCCGCTGTCTCCGCCAGCCGGGGAAGGTCCCTCAGGTAGACATTAAAAAGGGTAGGGCCTAAAATACTTCCCTGAGGAACTCCTCGAGACACTGCAAGACTTGAAGACTGGCTGGCTTGCGTGACGACACGCTGAGATCTCCCGGCGAGGTACGACGCAAACCAACGCAGGGCGCTTGCATGAACACCCATGCCATGGAGCGCAACGAGTAACTGTTGATGCTGGACGCGATCAAACGCCTTGCTGAGGTCGACAAAGGCTACACTGGTAGTCTCTCCGCGGTCCTGGGCCAGTTTCCAATCATTTACAGCAAGTGTGAGCAGTTGTGTCGTGGAACGAGCTGGTCGGAACCCAAATTGGTGATCGTGGAGGTGATTTTCGATGGTCAAACTGTCACATACCTGATTTAGAACCAGGCGCTCCAGAGTCTTAGCCAGAATCGACGTGAGTGACACAGGACGATAGTTCGAAGGAGAAGTAGGATCGCCCATACGGGATTTCAATATCGGCGTTACATTAGCCAACTTGAATTGTGTCGGGAACACAGCAGTGCACAAAGAGGTATTAAATATTAGGGTGAGGGAGAAGGCGATAACTGGTGCAACGGCCTTCAGGATGCTCGGGGGGAGACCATCTGGCCCAGGCGCTTTCGTACCGTCGAGTTTCTGAAGGTGCCGAAGTACCTCATCATCGGCCTCAGAAATAGGGCGAAACTCGTGCAAGTCACACGGTCTTGAGGTACCACTTGGAACAACATAAGCTGGGTTCGGATCTGACACAATACTATGGAAATACCTGTTCAAGGTACCTGCCTGGACGAGAGGCTCAGTTCTTGGGTTTTTGCGCCGGGTGACTGAGTTGATGGTGCTCCAAAGACGCCTAGGATCTCGCCGGTAATCGTCACAGATGGAGCGGAAGTGGGCATTTCGGAGTTGGCGATAAAGGTTATTGCATTTGCTGCGCAAAACTTTGAACTCCTTCAGTAGAACTGTACTACTGCAGTCAGAAGAGCGGTACTTTCTGTAGACGGTTTTACGTCGCCTAATGAGAGCTAATAATTCCGGTGTCATGAATGGGCACTTCTTCCTTTTTCCAGGGAATTGTCTCTGTGATGTTATGTAGGGTGCAACCACATCCAAGGCGTCTTCAAATTTTCCTTGCCACTCTTCTAGCATTACATCTACCGACGGGGACGAGAAGGATCCGAGATCAGAAATTGACAATAAATGAGAGAGATCAGAGGCAGAGGCCTTACTGTAATCATGGCGGCGGGATCGATATAATTGTCCTTGTGTTGGAATTGACTTCGGAAAAATAATGCTGGTGTGAACAAACTCATGATCGGTGAACTCACAGGAGTGAACGCTTCCGTGCTCAACACAATCCATGTTCATTAGTACACAGTCGAGAAATGATTTAGATGTAGGTGTGATCCTTGTAGGGTGCGTAATCATATTCTTCAGATCAAGGGGAAGTAGCAGGTATGTGTTCAAATTGTCAAAATGATGCGTTTGAGGGGACAAGAAATCAACATTTAAGTCGCCCTTCAGAATGAGATCTTCGCCCTGAATGTCATACATGACTTGCTGTAAAGATTGCCAAAAGGCCGCCGGTGTGGACGGTGGCCTGTAGAGACAGCCAATGAGGAATGATTCACCTGCTTCTCGTTTTGGAACGCAACCAAACCATTTCCAGGTCGATGTGCTGAATCAACATCCGCTTAAACCCAAGTTGCAACCTGCTGTAAATCACTACACCGCCGCGCTTCTGGCAAGGTGTTCCATTTGTACAGGAGCAGTTGTAATTGCACTTTCTGTCGAGACGGTGCATTGAGAACCCCCGGATGTCGACTTCTGAGTCCGAGATGCTGTTGTCGAGCCATGTTTCTGATACTTCTAAAATGTCTAAGTTATGGACCCGGACAAGCTTGGACAACACGAAAAGCTTATTTCGCAAACTACAAATATTAATATGACCAATATGTATCTATTATTGCACGATTAAAGAGGTCAATATATGAAATATAGAACGAGTAAAAGACCGAGGTCCCCCGAGGTCTTTTACGAGGTCTATATTTCATATATTGACCGATTATGAGGGCAATAATAGATTTATCACGACATACCATACCTAAAACTGTTTTTGCTTTGCTTTAGGAAGAAAGGAATACTATTGTAATAGTATAATAGTATGTACATATGCCGTTTACATTGGACATTACTTCTGTGTAAACCAAAGTTTTCAGTTGTCTCTTGTAGTATGTTCCCCAAGTTCTTTGACTGAGAATCTGACAGTTTGGGTTCAAATCCCAGCATTTGGCTTCAGATTTTTCTTCTTTCAGTTCTGATTTTTTTCTAAGTTGAGGAAAAAGTTCTAAGTCCTTGGGCTAAAGTGGTCAATAATAAGTGGTCAATATAAGCGGTCAATAGATGCTGTTATCACTCTTCTATATCGACCTCCACTAATTCTCGTGTTCCTTCACTGGTCCTATATTACCCATATCGCCGCAATATCGACCGCTTATATCGACCGCTTGTATCGACCACTTAGGCATTGTAATCTTTCGACTTTGGAGGGACTTAGAATTTTTCTCTCCACTTCAAAAAGAAAAATTGAAAGAATTGATTGATTGATTGATTGATTTTTATTTCACGGATCCTCCAGAGGCAAATAGATGCCTATCGAAGGGAGTCTCCTATATAAGTATGGAAAATGAGAAAGTATGTTCGTAAGGGAGAAGAGGTAGAAGATACATTAGAATATAGAGTACAGAAGAAGTAAATTCAGTACTTCGGGTAGTACATTGCATGCTAATCATAATGAGAATTAGAAAAGCAGCATTGCGGACTACTATAACTGACATATACACAAACTATTGAAACTATCATAGATGTGGTTAGCCTAGACACAAAAGTCAGGAATACCTTTCAAAGAAAACATAGATTGCGAATGATACCGACGAACAGCAATACTAAATTTCGCTGTTGTAGAGAGTGAACGAATATCTTCAGGAAGTTTATAGAAAGAAGACAAAGGAAGAGAACAAGCAGGATTCGAACTCACAACAGTATGAACCTCAAGCAACCCCTTTTACCACCCAGCCACTGTGCTGCAGATGCTGAACCCTGTTGTTCTTACAGTCTTGTACCCAAAATAGGCAACATCCAATGTACACTATAGTATAAATGCTATACTAAAAAGGTTAAGAGAGCATGTCTGAGAAAACCAGAACATATGTGCAAGTCGATCTCTCAGATTTCGCTCAAATTTTGCAGGTAGGTTTGCTTTGGGGTGTAGATCGACATTCCAAAGCCCGCACAAAATCTTTTGAAGGGAACCATGAAATTGGCATACCCCTCAATATTGGCCCAATATTGGCACGATTTATGGGTCTACAAACGAGCTACGGCACAGTGTACAAGAACAAGCTACGAACAAAACTCCATCAAGTCAACATTACCTCACCTTAGAAGAGTTCTTGGGGCAGCACCACTTAGCCACGCCAGCATCCCAGAAGACGAGGGCAATCATCCCTTGACGCCACAAATGATCGTCTTGAAAATAGCCAAATTACAAGCGCTGATAAAACTGCGAGCTACGTCCTCAATTAGCAAACACTAAACACCGGCAGATAGTAGAACACCTCTTCTAGCACTGAGGACATGTCCCCCATCATCCTTTTTGGGTTTTCTTGAAATAAACAATTTTGAATTTTTCCACTCGACCATTCTGAAATACGTCCAAACTCATACCTGCGCAGGAAAGCTCGCCCCTCCGCGACGTCTAGTCAGCAATTTCTACTCCAACACCACTCCCAACGCTGCAGAACAAAGTGTATTGTTGACTCTGACAAGGAAAAGCAGCGGTGATCACTTGTCACTCCAAACGACAAGCTTCTCCTTGCGCCACCAACATAATTCGGTGCAACAGTTGATGCAAAAGTGACTGAATTTTTGCGTGTAGTTTTTGGATTTTACTGCAAGAGGAATGAAGAAATCACATGCATCGTGACGTAGGATAATGCTTTCTGGTGCACGACACAATGCACATGATCACGATCGTTCCTGAGGCGCTATTCGAAACGGACCATGAGGGAGGAGGTAAGATGCATTATATTTCTTGCATGCTCTGCTCAGAACATTCAGAAACTATCGTTATAGCCCTAGCAGTATTGCATTGGCAAGAATTCTTTGAGATATTTCCTCTTGCAGTAAGAACAGGGATGCATTTTTTCACACTAACCTCGCTCATCCCGAACATGGTTCAACAGGAACTACGCGTATACGGCTAGTTTACATGCTGATGATCCACGTAGATCTGCGTTATCCATGCCATCAAGGTCGCTGGGAGTTGACCAGGCGCGGCCTACACTGGTATGTGGCGCGCGCCCACATGGCAGATTTCTTACGTCATGAACAACGTGATTTGACCCTACTCGCCCTAGTCTGTGTGCTGCATGTTGAGGGAAAGTCCCGGCTGGAAGGCCTACAACACGACATGCGTGCTCTTGAGCTGGACATCAAGATGCACTTGATCCGATCTTGATCAACGGGTGATCCATGTAAGTGCAGGTCGCTTGATCAAGGTGACTCGGAACAACTGCTGAACCGTGATCTACGAGACCTGGCATTCTTGTGTCACGAAGCACGTGATTTCATCATTCCTCTTGCAGTAAAATCCAAAAACTACACGCAAAAATTCAGTCACTTTTGCATCAACTGTTGCACCGAAAAATGTTGGTGGCGCAAGGAGAAGCTTGTCGTTTGGAGTGACAAGTGATCACCGCTGCTTTTCCTTGTCAGAGTCAACAATACACTTTGTTCTGCAGCGTTGGGAGTGGTGTTGGAGTAGAAATTGCTGACTAGACGTCGCGGAGGGGCGAGCTTTCCTGCGCAGGTATGAGTTTGGACGTATTTCAGAATGGTCGAGTGGAAAAATTCAAAATTGTTTATTTCAAGAAAACCCAAAAAGGATGATGGGGGACATGTCGTCAGTGCTAGAAGAGGTTTTCTACTATCTGCCGGTGTTTAGTGTTTGCTAATTGAGGACGTAGCTCGCTGTTTTATCAGCACTTGTAATTTGGCTATTTTCAAGACGATCATTTGTGGCGTCAAGGGATGATTGCCCTCGTCTTCTGGGATGCTGGCGTGGCTAAGTGGTGCTGCCCCAAGAACTCTTCTAAGGTGAGGTAATGTTGGCTTGATGGAGTTTTGTTCGTAGCTTGTTCTTGTACGCTGTGCCGTGGCTCGTTTGTAGACCCATAAATCGTGCCAATATTGGGCCAATATTGAGGGGTATGCCAATGTCATGGTTCCCTTCAAACGATTTTGCGCGGGCTTTGGAATGTCGATCTACACCCCAAAGCAAACCTACCTGCAAAATTTGAGCGAAATCTGAGAGATCGACTTGCACATATGTTCTGGTTTTCTCAGACATGCTCTCTTAAAATAGCTCCTAAAGGTTCAAATTCTGGGGTTATGGTGAAGGAATCGTGATAAATAGGATATTTGACCGCTTAGAGATCACAAGTTTCTGTGGGGTCAATAATAAGAGAGTGATAAATATAGAATATGTAATGCAATGAGGGGAAGGGTGTGATGAACTTTTGTGGGGCACAAAGGGTTGGGCAAGAGGATTTAGATTTGATCTGACTTCAGTCATTGTTTCGCGTCTGTTGAGTAGCGACGCTGGTCTACACTGCCTGAAGTGCGATCATCATCGGATTTGAATCTCCAGGGTCGGACAGAGACGTTTGACGGCCAGAAGTTGGGTTTGCTGACTGTATCCATGTCCTTTGCGTCTATCAGCACATATGCAAAAGCGGTGCCAAAGTGTTTGGATTCTGAAATGTTGCATGATACGACCTTAACGTCCCGATCCCTGCACCAATGTACGATTCCATCTGCGTGGCAGCCAGGATTAATCCCTCCCACATATAAAGCTGCATATTTTACGGGCTGGACGCCACTCTCTCAAGTTGGAAAGACAAAAAACTTATAATTATAGCGTAAACATATTGAGATTACACTCGTGAGAAGGTGGAAAATTATCAAGTTCAGCTTCGAGATTTGTGTCGTGCTGAACTTGATAATTTTCCACCTTGTCACGAGTGTTATCTCATTATCTTTACGCTATATATGTTTTTTGTCTTTCCAACTTCAGCCATTCACTGTACAGTAAGACCTCGCATCCGTTTTCCACAAAAATATCCGGATAGGCGAGGGAAACGGATAGTTGAACACACATACTGTATGTATGCATGACATATGCTGTAAATCGGTAAGCAACGATTTTCTCCCGGATGGCGAGGGATCGGGATAAAAGAGGACCGGATAAGCAAGGTCTGACTGTACAATCGTTGATTAGAAGGAACTGAAAACGTTCCAATACTTTATGACAAATGCCTTATTTGACAGGAGGTGTGTGTTTGCGTGGATACTTGCAACCTAATAACTTAGTATCTTACTGGTATTCCTCCCACAAACGATAGTAGACGGTGTCAAGCAATGCTGATCAGATGGCTGTGAATTTCCCGGAAGATATTGACCAGAACAATCATCCAAGCTTTGATGGATAGAAACGGCATTGTCAGAAACTTTCAAGTTGTTCCCAACATCACGGAAGTGAAGTTTATCAAGCAATCTTGTGTAGCTCATATGGACTGACACCTTTCCAAGTATTCCCACTAGCTTAGCTTTGCAGGCTGTAACTTGAGGAGAACTGACCAGGTGGCCGCCGAGTGTCTGACAGAACTCTTCACCTGCAACCCAGACTTTGGCGGTATTTGTAACAAACACTTCACCTTCATTGCCACAATCCACCCACGTGTTCACTGTATTAACACATAGAAAATGTATGAACAACAATGAACAGAACAGCAATGAATAACAAGATATGCACACTCATGTAACAAAACAAAGTTGCAAAGGTTTGGTTCCAGAATGTTTTCTTCCACAAAATTGAATCTCGTCACTGAAAAAGTGAGGGGAGCTATTCGCGCAGAAATGTTCGGTTGTGAGTGAATATAGAAGTGGAAGGAGTTACCAGCAGATACGTGCATGTACCTGAACATATTCACAAGCACTCAACAAGGAAGTCAAAGGAAGTTACTAATGGATCAAGGTAGTAAGGTGTGACATAGGTATGTGAAAACGCAGATTATTTTCTCCACGTCGCCTACTGAAATACTCTCGTTTACGCTTGCTTAGGAAATGTATGCGATGTCATGTGTGTGTGTGTGTGTGTGTGTGTGTGTGTGTGTGTGTGTGTGTGTGTGTGTGTGTGTGTGTTCTAGAGTTCTCTTTCCGATGTAGTTCGTATTTTTCCAGTCTCTTCTTCTCAATGTATTCTACTGTTCATTCATTATAGTCCGTAAAGAATTACGTGACCTTTTGTCTTGTGGCGTCTGTGCGATCCTGAAACTTTTGAGGTGTTAATAGTGAACACAACATTGTATGTCCTCAGGCAGTGTTGGGGACGGTTTGAACTTTTTAGCTCTCGTCCTTTGGCAGTTTTTCGTCCAAAGTTCTTTCTCCGTGGGACGACTCTGGGCTTCCAGGGTCGTCCCAAGGGCGGTGGCCCTTGACTGCGCGCGTGGGAGCTCACGACGTCAAGACTGGGTGGTTTCCTGTTGCCACCACTTGTCGTCGTCCTGCGCGCGCCCGTTCGTGTAGATTGGCTCTCTACTCGGACGTCTATCTAGTAAGCCCTTAGTACAATGGCGAGAAGGGAGACGAGGAGAAAGAGGAGACGGAGGTCGTGGATAAAATTTGGCTCGTGGAATGTCTGCAGTCTGGTGAATTGTGATGGCCCAGTTGAGACGGCGACAACTCGAAATTTGAATTTGAAAAATTCAAAGCTAGTGAATTGCATCGTGGAAGATAGGAAGATCAACATCGTCGTTCGCGAAGCTCGACGACTTGGTATCGAGACCCTTGGACTCCAAGAGACGAAGTGGTTTGACAACAATGTATACAATGTTGAGGATGCTGTTGTTGTTGCTTCTGGTCGACCGACACCCGTGGAAAATTTCGCTCGTGGCGAGGGAGTCGCGCTCGTGATGCGGGGCCGCTCAGCGCTGGCGTTTGCAGCAGGCGGCCGACAGTGGACAGCTGTGTCTTCTCGTGTGATGGTCGTAAAGTTGCAGTTTGCTCTGGAGTCTGGCAAGTCGCAGTGGGCTCATGTTCTTGTTTGCTACGCTCCCACTTTCCGCAGTAGCCGTGATGAAAAATTCAAATTTTTCAATTCGCTTGAACACGTGCTTCTGTCAATTCCGGTCTCTGATAAACTCATCGTACTCGGAGACTTCAATGCTCGAGTTGGTTCAGGGAAGCGTGATGACGAGTGGCACAGAGTTCGCGGTCCTTTTGGTACTGGAGCTATGAATGAGTCTGGTGAACGTTTACTCTTGTTCTTGGCTCTGCATGGTCTGCAAATCTGTAACGTATGGAATCGAGCATGAGTACGAGGACGAAAGTGCGGAATCGGAGCCCGACGCGCGCTAGCGCGGAGGGCTCCGATTCTAGCACTTGAGTCCGAGTACGAATGCTTTGATACCATTTCTGACATGCATTGCACGAACTACTTCGTACTACTAGTACTACTACATGTAGTACTTCACACATACCTAGTACCTACTCAAGGCACGCACACTAGACCAGACAAGGAACACAACTAGTCGCCAGTTTAGTACTTCAGACATGTTACATAATGACTAATGCACACAGTCACAACACAGAGATAAAACAAGGGCCGTCTAGTCAGCTAAAAACCAGGTCAGTTCAGCTTCTCTTCTTCGCAGTGACTACAGCCTACAGCCTACAGGTGCAGGTGAACATTGCAGTTTGCACCAAACTGAGCTCCGGAAAAGTTGATGGTCTTCGTAGCTTTCTGCATCAGAGACCGTTGGTGAGTTGGGGATTGCACTGTTGGGTCACAAGTTGCGATGTACTCATCAATGTCGGGATCGTGGAACTCAGTCTGCTGCTGTGATCGCTGAACGCTCGTTGTTGGCGCTGTAAGAGCACGGGTATTAGCATTGGTTGCAGTTGGAGACTCTCCATCCAGAACTGCAGCCATCTCTTTTCTCTTTTGTTCTGAATTCCTGTTGGCATATGCGGTCAACGACTGGACCTGGCGATGTCCCGTCGTCCCCATGATCGCTGTCTCCGACACGCCCGCATCCACAAGCTTCTGCACTGCTGTTGCGCGGACACAATGATTTGTGTAGGATCTCGAGAGGTTGGCTTTGTTGGAGATCCTTTTCATCATAGCCTTTATGGTGTTCTTACCCAGCGGTAAACCATTGAAGGCTTGCGTTCCGGGCTTTACAAAAAAAAAAGCGGCCTCTGATGGCTGAATCGGAGCACGCCTAGGCGTGCTCCGATTGGAAAATCGGAGACCTGCAAGCGCTCACAGGTCTTCAGTGGCTGATTCAAAGCACGGCAAGTCGCGCTAGGATTCGCTGTTGCCATGTCGATTGTCATGTGACATGTCAGAAACCTGGTTCAAGAAGCGGGACGCAGAACTGCACACATGGCAACACCCACGCTCGCAGGCATGGCACTGTATCGACTTTGTCTTCACTAGGCGAGCGGATCGTACCAACTGCATGGACTGTCATGTTTTTCGCCGTGCAGAGTGTAGCACTGATCACAGATTGGTGTGTCTGACCTATCGCCTTCCGGCACCAGTCCACCGCCAGCGCCTGCCACCGCGAAACCCTGGGAAACGTAGCGTGTTCGATGTAAGCCAATTGAAGAAGTGTACGGGTATGAGTGAGGAGGAGCGGGAAGTTGTTGAGTGCAACAGGGCAGTGTACCGAAGTGCTCTTGGTGATCGGCTGAAATCGTGTCACGTCACCCATGAAGACACCTGGCAGCCTATCAAGTCGGCGATTGTAGATGCTGCCGAAGCTTCCATTCCTGCACGGAAATCTCGACGTCAGCCTGACTGGTTTGCAGACAGCGCAACAATCCTTGAACCCAAGCTGCAACATCGAAACCGTGCCTATGCCCAGTGGCTTCAGTCTGCAGATCCCGCTGACCTTTCAGCTTTCCGCAAGGCCCGTAGTGCAGCGCGTACTGCAGTTCGAATGGCAAAGCGTGTCTGGTTGCAAAGAAAGGCGGATATGGCACAGTCTGGCAAGTTCAGTGGGGAGCGCGTCTGGTCAGCCATCCGGGACATCCAGCGCTGCTACAACGGTATGAAACCTGTGGCCTCTCATTCCATTCGCAAATCTGATGGAACCCTGTGTGTGTCAGCGGAGGAAGAGCGTGTTTGCTGGCAGCAACATTTCACCCGTGTTCTCAATGTCATTAGTGTGTTCGATGTCTCTGTCTTCCAGCAGTTGTCCTGCCGGGAAGTTGACGACAGCCTGGCATGCCCTCCAACGGCTGTGGATATTGAGTGCGCTCTCCATCATCTGGCCAACGGCAAGTCGGCTGGTTCGTCTCTCATCGTTGCGGAGCTGTTGAAGCACGGCTTTACTGTTCTTCGGCCACACCTGGATGCACTCTTCTCCACATGCTGGTCAGCGTCATCTGTGCCTCAGGAGTGGAAAGATGCTGTGCTCGTCCCTATTCCAAAAAAAGGTGACTTGAGCAAGTGTGACAACTGGAGGGGAATAGCCTTATTGGACGTCGTCGGGAAGCTTCTCGCACGTGTTATTCAGGACCGGCTGCAACCTCTTGCTGAGGCACATCTCCCTGAAAGCCAATGTGGTTTTCGGCGCGGGCGATCCTGCACAGATGCCATCTTTTGCGTGCGACAGGTAGTCGAGAAGGCATTCGAGCACCGCTGTAAGGCCTTTCTCGTTTTCATCGATCTCCGCAAGGCGTACGACTCGGTACCGCGCGCTGCACTGTTGCTGGCCCTTGAGGTGTATGGTGTGCCTGGGTCACTCATCCAGCTGATTGACGGCTTCCATTCAGGCATGCAGGCTGCTGTTCGGGTTGATGGTGATGTGTCTGGGAACATCTCGGTTGAGAATGGTTTGCGGCAAGGGTGCGTTATGGCCCCACTGTTGTTTAACCTGTACTTTGGTCTTGTGCTGGAAGCATGGCGTTCAGCTATAGCAGCAGCTGGTGTTAACGGTGTGTCCCTGATATCTTCAATCCATGGAAGTGGCAATCTATTTCCCAAGCGAACTCGTCAAACTGGCACGACATCGGTCAACGACCTGGAGTTTGCAGATGATGCAGCACTACTTGCACCATCCCGTGAGTCAGCTCTACTGGCTTTGGAGCTGTTCAGCAGCGTTGCTTCTTCCTTCGGCTTGACTCTGAGTACAGCGAAGACCAAGTTCATGGCCGTTGGTGCGAATTTATCATGTGCTGACCGCCTTCCGCTCTTTGTTGGTCCGGAGGAGATCGAAAGTGTCAAATCCTTTGTGTATCTTGGCTCTGTGATAACTGCTGACACCCGCTCATCTGCAGATGTGGCCAGAAGACTCGGTAAGGCAGCGGCAGCTTTCGACCTTATGCGCCGTGTCTTTCTTGACCGAAACCTTTCCATCGCCACCAAGCGCCATCTTTACGATGTTTGCGTTTTGTCCACATTGCTCTATGCCTGTGAGTGCTGGACTCCGCTGAAGAGAGACATGGTTGCCATCAACAACTTCCACCACCGCTCCCTCAGGTTCATTCTGGGTGTATCCCGGCTCGATCAACAGCTGCAGCATGTCAACAACCAGGAGCTGCGAAGACGCTGGGGTGATATGGCACTGCCATCTGATACCGTCAGACACCGCCGTCTGCAGTGGCTTGGGCATGTCGCCAGAATGCCAGATAACCGGCTTCCGAAGCTGATACTGTTTAGCTTCTTCTCAGATCC